TCAGAAAATACAGCAAACTACAGGAGCTAGGCAGGGCCCTCAGTTTACAATCAGAAAAAAAGGGAAGAAACATCAGTCCCACAAAGATAAAAAACTAAATTCTGTGAACAACATGAACGAGCAGTAACCAGATACTGCCCCAGTCTCCAGAAACCACAGCCTTGCCAACACCTTGATTCTAGCCTAGCAACATCTGTGCCAGTCTTCTGACCTACAAAACTATGAGTTAAGTAGCTTTGATTGTTTTAAGCTGCTAAATTCTGATATTTGTTACAACAGCAAAAGAAACCGAATTCAGGCTATTTCAACTAGGGTGGCAGGGAAAAACCGCCCTAAGCAGAGACCTGGAGAAATATCTGACGGAAAAGCTTCCCAAGCTAAAGTGAATGATCGTGCAGTGATAGGAGCTTGGAAAATAAGAGGAACAACAAGGAGGACAATGTGGCTGGAGTGAGGAGAGCGCAGTAGAATCTGAGATGGCAGGAGCGGCCAGGAACCAACTCATGTGAAGCTCTACAGGTCTTCGAGCTTTGGACTTTATTCTAAACATGATGGAAAGACACTCTGGCCTGACTTATACTTTAAAAAGTTCCCTGTGTGTGAGATAATGTGTGAGACTGAATGGAGCAAGAGTAAAAGCAAGGAAATCCATGGAGGATGTATTTGAAAGCTAGAGTACCATGTAATTTCTGATGGCTTGGACGTACAGTGGGAAAGAGAGCAGTCAATGAAAAACCGAGCACATGGTACTACCAGTTACTAAGATGGGAAAATCATAGTAAAAGAAAGTGAGAGGGAATGAGGAATTTCTTTTGGACATGTTAGGCTTTAGATGTGAATTAGCTGTCCTAGTCAAGATGTCAGATAGGTCATTACGTAACGTGAGTCCGAAGTTCAAGAACGGTTTGGCTAGAAGTATGTGGTAGTCAGAATAGCGTTCCCCCAAAGATGTCAATGTCCAATTCCCCAATATCTGTGAGTATGTTATGTTACAGGGCAGGGGGGAATTAAAGTAGGAAACCAGATCGGACTTCCGCCAAGATGGAGGCATAGGTGGAAATACTTTGCTTCCTCGTACAACCAAATCTCAAAACAACAAAGTTTTAACAATAATAAACGCAACCAAACCACACAGAAAATCAAATAATACGGAGTCCGAAAACAACAAACCTCTCAGCTAAACCAGTGAGAGGGGCAAAGCCAGCAGTGGAGCAAGCCAGGCAAAAAAGATCCCCGACCCGGGTGGTGCGCAGGCAGCCGAGGGCGCGGATCGCAGGTGCAGGCTAGCTACCGGGGGAACCCAGGGAAGAGGCGCAGCTGGCTGTCTGCAGTCGGTCGTGCATTCTCACACAGATAAACCAGTGAAGAGGCGAGCATTGAGACAGATCAAGCAGGCCCCAGGGGTGCAGGGTGGCAGGCTCCCACATTTGCGCTCAGATAAACAGGCGGGGGGAGCAGAGAGGACCGCCATTGCTCCCTCTCTGACCCCGCCCCCACATACAGCCTCACAAACCAGTAACTGGGTGGCCCCGCCTGGTGAACATCTAAGGCTCCCCTCCTCATACATAACAGGCACAAACAGATCAAAACATGGTTCAAGAACAACTCAGAGCCCCAGAGCCAATAAATCTAAGTGATAAAGAAATAGCCAAACTTTCAGATGCACGTTCAAAACACTGGTGATCAGGATGCTCACAGAACTGGTTGATTCTAGTCACAAATTAGAGGAACATATGAAGGCTAAACTAATTGAAATGAATGGTAATGCACAGGAAACCAACAGTAATGGAAAGGAAACTGGGACTCAAATCAAAGGAGTGGACCAGAAGGAGGAAAAAATGACCAAACAGAAAAATATGAAGAAACAAGAATTCAAAAAAAGGAGGAGAGGCTTAGGAACCTCCAGGACACCTTTAAACGCTCCAACATGTGAATAATTATAGGGGTACCAGAAGGGGAAGAGGAACAGTCATGAGTGGAAAACTTATTTGAACAAATAATAAAAGAGAACTTCCCCATTCTGGCAAAGAAAATAGACTTCCAGGAAATCCAGGAAGCTCAGAGAGTCCCAAAGAAGTTGGACCCAAGAAGGAACACACCAAGGCACATCATAATTACATTAGCCAAAATTAAAATGAAGGAGAGAATCCTAGAAGCAGCAAGAGGAAAGGGGACAGTCACCTACAAAGGAGTTCCCATCAGACTGTCAGCAGATTTCTCAAAAGAGACCCTACAGGAAAGAAGGGGCTGGAAAGAAGTATTCCAAGTCATGAAAACCAAAGACCTACAACCAAGATTGCTCTATCCAGCAAAGCTTTCATTTAGAATGGAAGGACAGATAAAGTGCTTCTCAGATAAGATCAAATTCAAGGAGTTCATCATCACCAAGTCCTTATATGAAATGTTAAAGAGACTTAGCTAAGAAAAAGAAGTTAAAAAAGATGAACAGTGAAAGGACAGCAAACTCACAGTTATTAACAACCACACCTAAAACAAAAGCAAACTAAGAGGACAGCTAGATCAGGAGCAGAACCATAGAAATGAAGATCACCTGGAGGGTTAGCAACAGGGGAGTGGGAGGAGGAGAAGGGGGGAGAAGGTACAGAAAATAAGTAGCATAGATGGTAGGTAGAAAATAGATAGGGGGAGGGCAAGAATAGTATGAGAAATATAGAATCTAAAGAACTTGAGACACGTGTTCATGAACTAAAGGGGGGGAATGATGGGGGAGGGGGTTTGCAGGGTGGAGGGGAATGGAGGGGGAAAATAGAACAAATGTAATGGCATAATCAATAAAATAAAAATATATTAAAAAAATAAAAATAAAATACAGGAAAATCCATAAAAAAATAAAGTAGGAAACCAGCTCACCTTAAAATAAAGAGATATCTTGACTTACTTGGCTGGGCCTGATGCAGTCAAAAATGTTCTTAAATGGGGAAGAAGGAGGCAGAGGACTCAGAATCAGAGAAATGTCACCACAAAATAGATTCAACCAGCTGCGCTGGTTTTGAAGATGGTAGAAGAGACCATAAGACAAGGTATGGGGCAACCTCCATAAGCTGGTTTAAAACACAAGGAAATAAATCTCCCTTCATTGCCTCCAGATGGGAATACAGCCCTCCCAATGCCTTGATTTCAGCCCAGTGAGACTCACTTCACACTTCTTACCTACAGAGCTGAACGATAATAAATCTGTGTTGTTTTAAGTCATTGAGTTTATAAAAATGTGTTACAGCAGCAACAGGAAAATAATACGGGTCATAATGCCGCTGAAATATATCTTTTCATCAGTGAACATACCCTGGTAAATGGCATAAACCCCACCTACTTGTTCAAGGCAGAAATATGTGCCATCCTTAATTTCTTCTTCTCTTGCATGCTCTCAATCCAGTCACCATCAAATCCCCCAGGTGCTACTTATTAAATATTTATTCACAGTTACCCACTGAACTTTGATACAGATTACCACCACGATCACCATCAACTTCCTTTAGGATGGAAGAAGACAGTACATACCAAACATTCTCCATTTAGTAGCCAGAATAAGCCTTCTATATGGAATATTTCTGGTAATTTTTCCTCCTGAATTTCTTCAATGACTCAGTATTTCACTCAGAATAAACCCAAATGCTTGACCTGTCTTAGAAGGTTCTCCGATGTTTGCCTTTGTCTTCAGCCTTATTTCCAGACCCTTCTCCTCACACTGAACTTCAGACTCTAGAAACATTTGGAGGCCTCCTCACTTCAGGTGTGGTCACAGACCTTCCTTGTCTGTGACCTTCCTCATAGATATACTCCTTTGTTCAGCACCTTCTCTAATTCACCATCAGAGCCAAACTTTTATGCTTCAGATTGTATCTGGTCTCCTAAATTGTTAGAGCATTAATATTAGGACCTTGAACTTTTCCTTCAGGACACTCCTCGCAATAGTGTTCTGCCTGACCCACGAGAGCAGGGCTTTTGCCTGACTTGTCCACCATTCTATCTCCATTTCTAGCAGCCAGCACACAGTAAGTGCTCCTGAGGTATTTGTTACATGGTAACTGCCTACTAGGAAGCTGTAAAGTCACTCTTTAAAATTTCTATAATGGTTCCCATGTCATTTTTAGTAACCATTTCCTATAAAGTCTTTACTAATGGAGTGTTCGGATACTTTTAAAAATGCGATAATTTCGTGCCTATCACCCTTTCCACATTCTTGACTTTTTGGTCCCCTTTGAAAAATGGGCAGTCAGAGGTAGTGGGAGAATGGCTTTAATTTTTTTGAACTTTATAATGTAAAATGTTACTCAACGTGTATTTATTACACACTTTCTATGTGTTGATCAGTGAGCATGGAGAATACTGTAAGTGAATAAAATAGACATAGTTACCTGTTTTTACATAGTTTGCAGACTAGAATGTGTGTGTATAAGGTGAGGGAAAGTCAGAAAGTAACAAACCAAAAACTATACAGAACATAGTAATAAGAGCCAATGTCAGGAAAGGGAGTGAGTGTTAATAAATAATCGGGAAAACTTCTCGAATAAACTGACGTTTGAGCAGGGACCAGTAGCAATTCGGGTATCTGTGTCAGATCACAGTAAGCATGCAAGATCTGGAATTTCGTTTTCTAAATTCAAATCATAGGTTACCATTTACAAGTCGTCTGCGACTTAAAGTCAAACTAGCCCTCTGAGCTTGCCTCCTACTTATAAAAGGCCAACACTACTATAAACCTCATAGCTTTGTTAATATAAAATGCTCAGCAACGAAAATAACCCGGGAGCTCCAAAATGAATTCTAATGGCTGGGAACCCGGGCAACGAACTGTAGGAAAGCCCACCTGCCTCCCAACACAGGCACCACGCCTCTTGAGGGCTCGAATGCAGCCGGTGATTGACTACTCACCTGTCCGTCCCGCCCACCTGGGCGTCCGGCCCAATCCTGGCGGGCTTTACGCGAAGACTTTTCCCAGGGTTCGCCGAGTAGGCGGTGCCCATGACGTTTGATGACGCGTTACGTCACGGTGGGCGGAAGTCACTGCCGCTGTTTTGAAATCCGGCCGCCGGAGTTCTTTAAGCCACAGTTCACGCCGAGGCCGGCAACATCAAACACCCAGAGGGTCCTCCTGACGTTCCTTCTGTGGCCCCGCGGCTCTGAGGCCGTAGTTGCGCCATGTCCACCCCTCCGTTGGCTGCGTCCGGGATGGCGCCCGGGCCCTTCGCCGGGCCCCAGGCCCAGCAAGCCGCCAGGGAGGTCAACACGGCCTCGCTCTGCCGGATCGGGCAGGAGACGGTCCAGGACATCGTGTACCGCACCATGGAGATCTTCCAGCTTCTGAGGAACATGCAGGTGGGAAGGAGGGCGGGCGCCGCTCCTGGGCGTGCGTGGAGAAAGCGGATACAAAGGGGCGCCGGTTTAGAAGTTTCGTGGCCTTTGGGTGTCGGCGGGGCGTAATGGGTCCCCCCATTTACCGTCAGAAGCGTCCCTCAATGACAGGTCTGTCCCAGGAGTCTGCCCCGTAAAGGTGGTGTTTTCCAGAACAGTTTCTGGACGACGGAAGCCACACGTTCTAGATTCAAACAGGCTTCTAGTTATGAGGCACACTCTTGCACCTTCAAAGGTAAAGGTAGGCTTCACTCTCTGCTACTTTGTTTTTATTACTTTGACTTTCGTCTCATCTTTTTCCAGCAAAATACTTTCTGGGGTTCTAAAGAGTTGAAGAATTCAGATTCTGCAAATTCTGCTAACCATTTTTGTTACAACAGCTCTATTTTGGTATATTGGACGTAAAGTGCAGTTTTTTTAAGTTTTGACAGATTTATACCTGTGAAACCATCATTCATCAGCCCAAAAAGTTTCTTCGTGTCCCTTTGAAATCTTTTACTTCCGGCCTTCTATCCACAGGCAACTTGCGATTTGCTGACACCATAAATTTTCTAGAGTTTCGTATAAATGGAATCATTCACTATGTAGTCATTTTTTGTCTGGCTCCTCTCATGTATCAATAGTTCGTTCCTTTTGATTGCTGGATAGTGTTCCTTTCATTGTATGAATCCATTACAACTTGGGTATATGTTCACCTGTTGATGGGCATTTGGGTTGTTTCCACTTTGGAGTCATTAGAAAAATCCTTCTATGCCTGGCTGGTGTAGCTCTGTGGATTGAGCCCGGGCTGCAAACCAAAGGGTCACCAGTTCCATTCTCAGTCAGGGCACATGCCTGGGTTGTGGGCCAGGTCCCTTGTGGGGGCCACGTGAGAGGCAACCACACATTGATGTTTCTCTTTTTTCCTCCCTTCCCCTCTCTCTGAAAATAAAATCTTTTAAAAAATGTATCTACTGATGCTCATCTACAATGATGTTCCTGTGAACATCATTTAAAAACGTTCCTGTGAACATGTTTCTTTTCTCTCGAGTGAGCCAATGCCTAGTAGTGGAATTGCTGGATCATAAGATAAATGCCTTCTCCAGTCTGTGGCTTGTCTTTCCATTCTCTTCATGTTGCCTTTTGAAGAACAGACATTTTAATTTTTGATGGAATCCAACTTACTGTTTTTACAGATTTTGCTTTGGGTGTTATACCTAAGAAATTTTTGTCTAAATGAGGGTGACAAAATTTTTCTTTTGTTTTCTTCTGGAAGTTTTACAGTTTTAGGTTTTACATGTAGTTCTATAATCCACATTGAGTTAATTTTTTCACATAATGATAGGTACAGATCCAAGTGCACTTTTTTGTATTGGATATCCGTTTGTTCCAACACCATTTTACTAAGCCATTTTTCATTGAATTTATTGTGGTGACATTAATAAAATTGTATAGGTTTCAGGTGTACCCTTCTATAATACATCACCTGTATATTGCACTGTGTTTACCACCCCAAGTCCAGTCTCCTTCCCTCACCATCGGCCCCCCCTATACCCTCTTCTACCCCGCGTTCCCTCTGGTTATCACCCTGTGGATAGTTCAGTGGATCATATCCATTGGATCATATGGGTCATTTCCATAACCCATATGGATATGATTCTGGTTTTATGGATTAGGATTCTGTGATTCAGAGAGGTAAAGTGACTTGCCAGAAATTGGTCAATTGTAAGGTAAATTTGAAACCAAGTCTTCGGACTCTTAGAATTCTTATTTCTATGGATGCACTAAAGAGTGGTTCCTTTTTAAGTTCTTAATATGTTTTTCTCCTGATTTTAAAAGTAATTCAGTTGTATAGACATCTATTAAGACCGTGCCAATAAGGCGATGTGAAGCAATACAAAGGGAATCCAAGAGAAGTGAACTCTTTGGCAATTTAAAAAATATATTAATAACTAAACTGATTAAAGTGTATATTAAATGATGTCTCACAAGCGCAGTTGACCCTGAACAACACAGAGGTTATAGGGCACCAAACACAACACAGTCGACAGCCCACATGGAAGTTTTTTAAAGTGTATGCGGCATTTTGTTTTTGATGGTTGCCTTTTTATACTGTGATGTTAAATGTTCTAGAAAAGTGTGTAATGAGAACAATACTTCCCATAATAAACCAAGTCCTGGGTTGAAAATCCTTCAGAAAAAATCCAAATCCATTTTATATCAGTATACACACCACAGAACTTTCAAGTAAGCCCTCCATATACGAGTATTCCCAGCGGTGAATAGAAAATGGATTTCTTCATCTTCAACGTGCTGTATGCATAGGACTGAATTAGGACTGGAAAACTAATAGCTGATATTTGTCAAGTACTCTCCCTGATCGGGAACACTGCTGTAAGAGCAGTTCTAAGGAGTATTTTTATCTCTACTGTACAGTTTAGGAAACCCAGTCTTAGAGAGAGAAGTATTTACCCAGCCTCACATCTGGCTGGTAGCTCTTCCTGTCAATCTCGTTATAGTAAGTACTTAGGACTAACTTGCTGCCAAACAATTTACAATATTAAAGAGATAGATAATGCACATCCATGGCCAACACAGAAAAAATAAATAACATTTCCAAAAAGTATCAGTAACTAGATTACCTGTGGACACGTATTCAAAACCAATTTGCAAGAGACTGACAGTGACCAATATTTCTTTGTGGCTCTTGTTAGTGTGAGTTCTGAAGTTCAACTCATCTGCTCATCTAAGACCCTTTGGAGCACATTATAATCGGCTACAAAAGAAACCACCATGTGCTCCACTTTCCAGAAGAAATGGTGGTGCAAAGAGGACTACATATAACTTATTCATTGGTATAATTTCATGAGTATTCAACTTTTAAAAATTATCTTACATATTGCTAATCAAGAAGGATGACGAAGTGCCAGAAAAGCAGACTTTGTTTTAGATAAGTGGTTCTTTATTCGGTGTCCTTTCGCTTCCTGAGAATGGGATGGAAACTATGGACTCTCTTCTGAGAAAAAGGCGTATATACACAACTTGAATAAAACATCAAGGAGATTAACAGATGTCTCCCCAAGGAGCCTTAGATCCCAGCTGAGAATCCCTGTGTAAAAAGTGTTGCTTTGGTTCTATTTTATTATCCTTTACATCTTTAAAATAACTTCTTTGAATATAAAGTACATTCAAAATTCGGAAATACAAAAGGACATTACGGTGAGCGTTGTCCCCCATCCCTCTTTGCCAGCTCTCTACGCCTTTCCCCACCAGCGATGGTTGTCAATGGTCTTTATCGCTCTTCTTGTGCAGCTTTCCATATGTTCTAGGCAAGTCTCAGCAAATGTGTGTGTATGTTCTTACCCTGCCCTCCCTTTTGCACAGATAACAGTGTATTACACACACCATTCTGCACCTTTTTTCATTTGGTATATTTTGGAGTCTATTCATATTCATACAGAAAACAATTTCTTTCTTTTTAAAGTGCATAGTAATTCGCTGCATGGAAATACTGTAATTTATTTAATCAGTTCTCTAGTGAAGAGCATTTACGTTGCTTTTAAACCTCTATTAGGCTTCAGTGAATAACCTCCTACAGACACGCACGAGTGTACCTGTGGAATAAATTCTCGGGTATGGCTCTGTGCTTCTATAATTCTATTTACTTTGAAACACTGCCTTCTGTGGGGGGTTGTATCGGTTTATGCCACCGTGCCCTGACCAAGACCAACGACTAGGCTGTGACACAGCCAGTTACATTCTTAGATCTCTGATCGTTTGTTGGGAAAAGCCTACTTTAGATTTTTCCTATTTTCAATGAATTTCAACATCTCTCCTCATATAACTTTTGCTTTAATTTTTACATTTAAAACTTTGATCTAGGTGGAATTTAGCCTACAATAAAGTGGGAGGTATGGCCCTGGCCTCACTTCTTCCAAAGGTTGATTGAATAATCATTTCCTTCCCCACTGATTTCAGATGCTCCTTTATAGAAACCAGTCGGTCTTTTTCTGAATGTTATGTTCTATTCACTTAGCTGCCTGTCTCTGTGTATTAATGTCTGACTTCTATTTATTGAGGCTCTGTAATGTGTTAGTTATTTTTCAGAATTTCCATAGCAATTCTTGCCTGTTTTTCCACATGTACTTCAGAATCAGCTTGTTGAACTGTAGGAACAACCTGTTCATATTTTTAATTGGTTCATTTAACCTGGAAAGATCTGACACCAGTTTTATGTTGAGTCTTAATAACCAAGAACATGGAATGTCCTCCTTTGTGCCCCCGTGAAGTGTTTTAAGTTTTCATTTTTATCTTGGTATCTTTAAAGTTCATTGCTAGATATTTTATCTTTATTGCTGTTGTTATAAATGGAGTCTTTTTCTTTTCTCATTTTCTTTGGTTTTTTATATATGAAAGCAAAGGTATCATTTTCTAAACATTATCTTTGTACCCACCTCCTTCATGAATTATTTTCTTAATATTAACATGTTATCATATTACTTGTAGTGGCGATTATACAACTCCTTTTTTAATGTTTCAACCTTTTTTCTTTTTCTAATTGCACTGGCCAGTGCCTCCAGAATGATGGTCACTAGTAGTGTCAGTGATTCTAGCAGACATCCTGTTCCGTCCCAGCTTCACTGAGAATGCTTTTATATTTGCATATTAATCATGGTGCTGACTTGTTGACTGAGATAAATGTGTCTTATCACTGGGGAATGTTTATGAAGAGTTTTATATTTGTTTTAAGAATGGATATTGAATTCAGTTGAATGCCTTTTTGCTTTGTGGGGTGTGAGCATATTTATGGATCTTCACCAGCATTCATGACAGAAATGATTATTGATGAGCTTTTCAGCTAAACTTGTACACTACAGTGTATAGCAAGGGATCTTAGGCACTGTAACAACTTACACTCAGTACGGGCACCTTGTCTCTCGTGTTCACTGCTCTACCCCAGCTTCTAGAACAGTGCCTCCTGACACAGGAAGTGTGTGTAATAATTTTTTGCATGAATTATTCCCTTCTTTGAGGAGCTGATGTAGTATATGGAAACTAATACCCAAACGTCCTAAGTAAGTGAATTTAAGGAGGGTGATTCTTTGCATTTCAAAATGATTTTGTTTTCCTTTGTGAAAAAAATTATTAGGACTTCTTGTAAATACACACTTCTAAGTGAATTTTAAGTATAGATTTATTGGGAAAATAACTCATTAAAGTAAAATAATTCATACTGTACTTTAAAACCTTCTGTTTGGGAGTACACTTCCAAATACAGAGATACAAATGTAAGTTCTAGCCTTCACTAAGTAAAAAGTATGGGCAGTTATAAATCTAGTAAATGCCATAATAAAGGTACACAGTGCTTCTGTATGTAAGATAAAATCAAACTCCTTATTATCACCCAAACAGGAGAGCACAGCTCCTTTGAAACATTTCTTTGATTGTGTTCGTGAAAGTTCATAAATTGGAAAGCTTATAAAGAGAAATTCTCCATTGTACTGGACGGTGAACTTTTAATGCCTTTCTCCTTTAATCTATTTTTACTAATTCAGCCTTTGATATTTTTTATCACATTTCTTTGAGGCATTGTCCTCAGAATGTTATAAGCTTAGGAATTTCTGAAAATCTTAACAATATCTCATTTTAAGTAATTTCAGAAGATCCATCTCCTTAACTTATAACCCATTATATTATAGAAAATTTGAAAGTGAGAAATTATTTAAGCCTATTTCCCTAGAATATCTTTCATCAACTAGGTAAGCCTTCCCAGTCTTTTTTTTTTTTTTTTCAATTTTTTCAGGTTTATGGTTTTACCAACTTGTGATCATAGTTTGTCCTGTTTCCTTTTTTCTCCAAACATTGTGTCATGCACTTTTTTTTTGCACTGTCTCTTCATCTGTTTCACAAAGAAAAAAATGAACTTAGTATTGAATAGTTGTGTCCCTTTAATCCCCAAGACAAGGGTAAGGGTCAGTGCTTATAATGACAGCACCTTGTATAGCAGAAAATGGTATGTAAACGTTGTTGATTTTTACAGTAGAATATTTTTACAGATGAGATTGTGGGAGTAAAATGTAAAGATGTACAGAGAAAGGAAGATTTCTTTCCTGAGTTTCCACGAGGCACAAGTGGCATATAATTAGCTATAATTTCTAAATAAATAATGATCAATTTTCATTTATCTGCAATTTTATCATTTCAAAATATACATTTGGCTTCCCTTGGTAAAATTCCTAAGTTAAAAATGCATAAGCTTCCAAGACAGTTTATGATCAGTTACTTGTAAAATTTATTACTGATCTTTATGTTTAGATCTATGTACACCTGTGTCTCCTGCTATATATTCTTTTTAAAGTGAAACTTTGGGTGACAGCTTTATATTTCCTTGTGTGCCCTGAGCATCTTAATTATTTTATCAGAGTTAAGGTGTCTTGGGATTATTTTGCAACACAAGCAGCGTATCATTACTTTTCTTCGGCTGTGAAGTCCTGTCTTCATTTATTTCTTTTCCTTTTTAAATTTCATTTTATTTTTAACTTCCTAGTTAAGTTCAGCTGCTTGCTGCTTTTATGTAGTAGCAAGTAGTATTAAAATTATACATTTTTAAAGGTTATACTAGACTTAAAAAGTTAGCAGGGAAAAGTATTTCACCTGGTCAGAGGGGCTTCTCACCAAGCTTTCTCTAAGTCTGTTTACATCACTGAAATAGGATGCTAATGAGCGAGGAAATGAACACTAGTTACTCCTAAATTCTTAGAGTTGCACTTGTTACCTGTGAGGAGTTATTTCCTTTATGCAGTGCTTAAAAATTGTCAGCTTTACATAGAGAAAAATCTTAATTTTCATTGCTTTCTGTTTTGTCTTCTTTTGCCCAATAAGCTCCCGAATGGTGTCACGTACCACACTGGAACATATCAAGATCGGCTGGCGAAGCTCCAGGATCATCTTCGCCAGCTCTCCATTCTGTTCCGGAAGCTGCGCTTGGTCTATGACAAATGCAATGAAAACTGCGGGGGGATGGACCCCATTCCAGTGGAGGTGAGTTCTAGTGGTAGAGGGAGGGTGAATGAAGATGTAAGACAGTCTCAGGCATTTGCAATTTCTTCTCCTCTCCTTTCTCCAATTTTTGCAGTATTTCCAGATTTTGAGCTATATCAGGTGAAAATATGATATAAATATATGTAGAATATATATGTGTAGACAATACTGTATTTTCATGCTAGTAATTTTTTGTAGACTGATATACAGGCTTGCTAGTGAATTTTTGTTACTGGAATCAGAGGGTTGTCTGTCACAATTTTCTTTTTCATTTTTTTCTTTTTAATTAAATCTGTGCATAATTTCTTTTTAAATAGTTTTAATAGTATTGTCCAATGCTTTTAAAATTATTTTCATGTGAGTTCTTTATGAGTAAAGGTTATATTTTCATCATTAATAATTTAGATTAGCTTAGTGAATCACTCTAGTTTTAAAATATATTCTGTAAATTTAACCTTGAATCATAGATATAGTTCAGTTAAGTATATGACATTGTTATAGATGGCCCTTTCCTGTTGACAAGTTTTATCTCCACCACCAAAGGCAGCCAGGGAGATTTGGATGCTCTCTCGCTCTGTGTAAAGAACAATTTCATGTGATCAGTGCTTCCTTTTTGAGTGATCAGCATGTAAGGATGAACAAAGAATGGCTAAACTCAGAACAGCCTGAAAAGAAGTGATCAAAGACATTGGAGAAAGATCAGAAGTGTGGCTGACAGACTGTCAGAGGCTGCAGAGAAGTCAAGGAGCATTAGGGATAAAACTGTCCAGTAGATTTTGCTGGAGCAGAACTGTTAGTATATTTGAGCAGAGCTTCAGTGACATGGTAGCAACAAAAAGTCAGATCACTGTGGGCTGAAGATTGAACAGGAAATAAGGAACTGGAGGCAGCAGGTGGATGTCCATTTTTAAGGAAGCTCTGATAAAAAGCAAGAGAGGAAAGCAGCAGTAGATGGAAGGAGGGACAGAGTCAAGGTGTTTTCTTCCTCCACATGGGAGAAATCAGAACATGTTCGGATGCTAAAGGAAGCAACAGCAGGGAGAGGTTGGGAGGGGGACAAGTGATAGAGACAGCGGGGCGGACGACTCGGAGCACAGGAGTGGAGACTGATGGGGCTTTGGGAGGAAGGACAGGTCTCTGGAAGGAGAGAGGAAAGGAGGGAGTGGCTGTGGGTAGGTTTTCGTTGTCCCAGGAATTGGAAGAAGTTTAGTCAGATGACGCCTGGTTGTGCCAATCATTTACCCGGGGCCTGTTCCTGTATCAGTGTAGATGGCCGAGACTAGATAATTCCCGAAGTCTGTCCCTCCTATGAGGGGCTTCATCAAATAAACGTCATCACAAACCAGAATATTTCATTACAATTCTGCTAGAAGTTTCATTGCTATAAACATTTTTTTCTCCTGCCAAAACCCCCCCGAAAATATAACTTCTTTTGGTTGGGAGAAAGTTAAGACATCTAAGAATTTGCATAGATACTTACGTTCTACACAGCAAGTAAATGACATTTATATAATGCACATCCATGAAGTTCCTTTCTTTCAAGTATGGATGCAAGAAAGCCTGCACCACCAGTTCTGCAGGTGCAGGAATCAGAACTTACTTGTCATTATTTTTGCAGCATCTCACCTGGTGTCTGGCAGTTAAACAGTTGCCGATTGAATGAATAGGCAAGGCTATTACTTAACTGTATGTGACAACTAGGGTTATAATGGCTACTTTGCAAAAAGAAACCTGAAAAACTGATGTACAGAATACACTGAAAAGATAAACTTCTAATGTTGTTATTTTAGATAATCACCTAAATTGAAATTTATTTTTACACTACTAAAAGTGTAAAAATTTCCCTTAATCTAAGTATGTATACCAGCGTAATTGGAAATTCTGTGTTGTCTTTCTGACTTGTAACTGTCTGTGCTGCTTCCAGCAACTTATCCCATACGTGGAAGAAGATGGCTCGAAGAACGATGACCGGGCTGGCCCGCCTCGTTTTGCCAGTGAGGAGAGGCGAGAAATTGCTGAAGTGAATAAAGTGAGTGGTTACTCTGTCCACTTTATGTTTCAGAATTACTGACAGGATTTACAAGGGAGTCTGATGTAACTGGAAAACATATTTTGAATTGTACAATTACATGAAATGGTTTGAGTGGCAAATTTAACTCAGAGGACAACCAAGAACTCAAAGGTAAGCAGAAATGTCGTCAGAGTAGTCAGCAGAGAGATTGCAAAATGCACGCAGCGAAGCTCTTAGGAAAGCTTCAGAGGCGCTCACTCAAGACCCATTTCCTTTTCTCCCTTCGAAACAGAATTCCAGCTTTCTAGTTTATGGCAGGTGCGTTTGGAGCGGCCAGTGATAAAAACTGACAAACGGGAAGTGTGAACGTCTCAACACTTGAGTAGGAAATGAAGAGTTATCATCAAAGCATTACCCTGTCTCCTCCAGGAAGAGTTCTGAACTTGAATGTATTTATTGCTGATACCTTCAGAAGTTCAGAAGATAATCAGATAGTTCTCATGAAATATATATGGAGAAATAAGGAAACTTGTCTGTTCTTTCTGTGATACAAACATGGCCCAAGCATACCAGAACCTACCCAGTAGCACAATAAATAAAACTACCCATCTCACACTTTCATACACGTATCCCCCGATCCCACTCCTGAAATTTTATTTCCAGTTAATGGAATGAAGCAAGGTATTAATGCATCACAAAGAGGACTTTTTGAGTCATACGAGGATATATCTAATATGTAATGTCAGCAGGCTAAATTGAAAAAAATTTTTTTCTCTAATCTAAAAGGCATTTGATAAAATTCAAATGTTGATTTAAAGAAAACTTGATGGTATCTTTTCTTTTTAAGGCTTTTTCTTTCAGATGAATGTCCAGGATTTTTCATAATTTTCCAGGCATAAAATAAGGTGTCCTACATGACTATATTTAGTATTTTAGAAGTTACAGATAATACAAAAAGAAACAAACTTTGGAAACGGGTTATAATATATACAAGCTTACTAAGTTTGTTAAGCTTATATTTATATTATATATCAAGCTTGTTAAGCAAAAAGAAACTCGGTAAACAGCTGCAGTCAATAAGTTCATTAAAAAGGCTTAATAAAAGATACTACCATCCTCTTATATTGATTAAACCAAATAAAGATCCTATTCATAATTGTAACAACAAATATTAGTAATTAGGATTTATCTCAATATGTACGATTACACTTATTAAGATACATAAAGAAGTTTTGAATAATTAGAAGAACATACTGAGTTCTTCTGTGGCCAATCCATAATTTTAACAGGCCCGTCTTGATCATAGTCAAACCTCAGTTCTCGAACACTGCGCTTGTCCTCCAGTCACTCACAGACACCATTCCCCGGTTGCTGAACCAAACTTCAGTCCTTGATTCTCAGCCCGACCACCCTTTAATGCTGCTAGCTGTATGCTCAGTCATACCTCTCTCGGGTGACAAGGGAGATTTGGTCTTTGAACCAAAAGACCAAACATTGCTTCTCGCACAGTTTTCCAGAATGAATTAAGTTTGAGAACTGAGGTGCCACTGAATTTCACAGTTTTAGTGTAGTCAAAATCCAAATCCAAATAGGTATTCTCTTAAAAGTACACAAAAATAAGAAAATAAGACTTAAGTGTAATACCAGTCAAAAACCAAATTGAAACGCAATCTAGATGGAAATCTTTTCTTCAGAATGTACTAAATATCAAAGAAAATACTGGTAAGAGTAATACATCAACACTGCTCACATTAAAAATTAAAATGTAATATGAAGCATAATAAAAAAACAGTAAGTGTGAAATACTGGAACAAGAATAGACAGATTAGTAAGATAATAGCCAGGAAAGTAATCTTCTCATTGTGTATGAGAATTTAATATGACGGAAGAGGGATTTGGTGGAAAATTGGTCTTTAAGAGTAGAAGCTTTGGGAAGAAATTAACCTAGCTTTTATATTACACCAGATGTTGAGATGAATTTCAGAGTAGAAAATAAGACCTGCAAAATAAAATATTGGAAAGTTGAAAAAAGATGTATCACAGTATCAAAACTAAGGAGAAAGGAAAAAGATGGATAGATTTTATAAAGTAAAGGTTTATAATTTTTTTAAAAAGGAGAAATGCAAATTGAGAAGGCTATTTCCAGCAAATTTGGCAGTAAGGAATGATCATTGAAAGCTCACAGCAGATAACTGGTAGGGGATACAGGGGATGGGCAACTTAATTTAGATCACGAGTAGAAACTGTGTTTGGTAGTCCAGAGGTGAGGCAGCATTTACTAGGGAGTGTTATATTTCTATTGATAATCTATGTATTGATTCACAATAGATGTGTTCTCTTTCCTTTTCCTCTGTAATAGGATATTTTTGTAAAACACATTGAAATATATATAAGTAAAGTACCATCGTAACATTAACTAGAATATCAGAGTGCCAGATAATGTGACATTTAGTTCTCTGCCAGAAAGGATCTTATGACATGAAAAATAAGTATAAATTCAGAAAGTATACCTTGTGTAAATTCAGAAAGCTGTAATTTTCTACTATATGTTTCATTTCGCTTTTCATTTCTTTAAGTTCCTCTTTTTAATCCAGTTTGATGGCTTAGAAATAAGTGACTCTGGACTTTTTTAAAAAGACCTTTCATATGATGGGAATATGGTGATACTTTGAGTGTGTGATCAAAAATATCTTACTACCAAAAACTATTAAAAACAGTAGGCACAGTAAAGTTGCAGGATATAAAATCAATATACAAAAAGCTGTTGGGTTTCTGTATACTCATAATGAAATGTCAGAAATGAAGAAAATAGTCTCATTTATAGCAATGACTAAAAAGAATAAAATACCCAGGAATAAACTTGAGGGAAGGACTTGTATACACGGAAAACTAGAAAACACTGTTGAAAGAAACCAGAAATGGAAAGATAGTCTGCACAGCGTGGGGGTGACTGGAGGGCAAATGGGGGGAAACAGGGACATCTGGAATAGTTTCAACAATAATAAAGTAACTAAATAAGTGTATTCTGCATTAATGAATTGGAAGAATTGTTAAAATATCCATATTACCCAAAGCAATCTATATTTAATACAATTCCTATCAATATCCCAATGGCACTTTTCACAGAAATAGAACAGAAAGTCCTCAAATTTATACAGAACCACAAAAGACCCTAACTGCCAAAGCAATGCTAAGAAAAAAAGAATAAAGCCAGAATTAATCAAACTTCCTGACTTAAGACTATATACCACAAAGCTAATCAAAACACTATGGTTGGCAGGAAAAGGACATGTAGACCAATGGAATAGAAATGAGAGCCCAGCAATAAACCCGCTTTTATTTGGACAACTAAGTTTTGACAGAGAGGCCAGGAATGTGTAATGGAGAAAGGAAAGTGTTTTCAATAAATGTTGTTGGGAATGAATATTGGACAGCCACATGCCAAAGAATGAAACTGGATTATCTTACACTGTATACAAAATTTAACTGAAAATGGATTAAAAACTTGAATGGAAGACCTGAAGTAATAAAATATATAGAAGAAAACATAGGCACTAACTTTTGGATCTTAATCTCAGAGGAGCTTTTGTGTACTTGACCCCAAAGACAAGGGAAGTAGATGCAAAAATGAAGGAGTGGGGCTACAGCACATGAACAGGCCTCCTTTCTCACTCCACGGAGACCTGCTCTGGGCCGAGTGTGGGCGTCTCTCCCGGGACCCCGCAGGTGTGCTCTCTGCCACTTGTCCCCTTTCACATACTCACTTCCTGATGTGGTATTTCCGAAAACAAAACTGTTGGGCCATATTAATATATTGGCATTTTTGCTTGTATTAAGTGGATAAGTTGCTTAATGGACCTGTAAAACCAGTAATAAAATTATATTCCTGACATTCTTAAAAACATTTAGAATTTTATTACAGCATATATTTTCTTTTTATTTCAAATAAGTGTCATTAAGTAAGTGGTTTTACATATCCCTCAGTTGGCCCTCATTTGGTCATTTTCAGAATATTACTGTATTGTTGTGTTCTTGAAACTGTATGAAAGACACTGATGGGCATGTTTACTGCTGAGGCTGCGTGATACGTGGGTTTCTAACCAACTGTGCGGTCCCAGAATGCCATGCACCTTTGGAGCACGAAGTGTATAATTGGTATTTGATGTAAATCATCAGAAGATAGAGTGGCTCAGTGTCAGTCATCAGGGTTTTGGCTCATTTAAGTATTTTTCTTATTCTGGAATCCATAAGCCCTGATACCCAAGTAAAGAATGAACACTTGTTTGAGACTATTGTATATGTTTTAAGCACATCAGAATGAGTTCTGTTGTGCTTAAAACTATTCTGTTGATGGTAAAATGAAATTGAAAGATAACGTGGGTAGTTTTTCTCAGGTTTGAAATATAACTCAGTCCATGCATTTAGAAATTAAAACATTTTTGACCAGTTGTCACAGACTTTATATGAATATTAAGTTACATGCCATGATTTGGCATAAACCTATTTTTTAAAGTATTACTCTGCTTACACATTCACCTGTTAATGTAACAAATGAGGCACAGCTGATGGATTTGGATCATAAAAGCAGCTGTCAGCCTCTGTTAAAATCAATCAGTGGCAAGACTATATATTAAATTCTGTATCATGTCATGAAAATTCATTTACAACTTAACCACTAATAAACAGAACTGTCAGCTTTCCTGTTGATAGTTTCATGATGTGTTTTTGCTCTGGATAGTTTACATGTATGCTAATTTTTTTAATTTAAAACTTTGTGGCATCTGTCATCGCAAGCACCAAGGTTGCAGGTCACTCCCCAGTCAGGGCACATACAAGAAACAACCAGTGAATGAATAAATAAGTAAAAACAAATCATTGTTTCTCTTTCTCTTCCTTCCTCTCTCAAAATTAATCAATTAAAAAAAACCCCACAAAACTTTGTGGCATCTTTGAGAAACTATTCAAGTGCCTTACAACACAGAGTGGGACAAAAGTAGATTTATAATTGTGAGTACTTGAGACAGTTTATTCTTAATATTATTTATTGATTATTGTATTATTTTCCATATGAACTGTAAACCTATTTTCACCCACTCTGTATATCATACTTTTAAAAACTTATTTTTATTACTGCCTATAGTTGAGTATTACCATGAAAATATCCTACATTCTTTTTAGTTGTCACACTTCTTTTTAAGAATTAATGAGGTCAATGTTTTTTAAACAAGTGTTTCAGAATTTCTGTTTCCGAATGAGTACTCTTGAACATGGTCGTGTTGGTAAGCTGTGCAGTGATTGCAGCAGCCACTGTGGCGGCCATCCGTAACTCTGTTTGATACTGAGTTCAAAGGCCGTTTTTAACCATGTAAGAGTATAATCTTATCGCTTCTAATTACTCCTTAATTTACGTTGAAATTGTGATCACTGAGTTTATTTCACCCGACTTGGCCTTTTCATGGTTTTCAGCTGTTCCCAAAACTTAATCTTTTCCTCTTTCTGATGGACACAGACTTGTTACCATTGAAATTTATAGGAGAATCCATATAACACACTTGCCCAGTTAACCTTTTTTCATTGTGATTTAAATTGCATTTCTCCTTTAAGAATGTGAATGGGTCTTATTACCCTCTACCAAGCCCAAAGGGTTCTCGCTTGCCACAAGTTTTTCCAGCCCCCCAGACAAAGACCATTTCCATGTTTGCCCCCCTGCCGGTCGGAGGCAGTGCCTGTCCGTGTTTGGCGGTGCCACAGCTTCTGCTGCTCTCCCTCCCCGTCTGCCTACTCGCCTGTAGTCCAGTCGTCCGGGCACCATCTTCCTCTTGCTTGATGCTGAGTTCCCTCAAGGCAGGGACTGTTCCTCATTCCTTTTTCTTCCCTTGCAATGCCTAACCCAGAGCCAGTGTTTAAGGAACAGGATGTGTCACAGGCTCAGAATTCCATTCCAGGGAGAAGTTCTGAAACTTCAAAATGTTCATATTCAAAGTATGTCAGAAGGTACTAATTCAAGTAAGATCTTCTTAAAAATCAACTCACATTCCTTCTCTTTCTTTTGTTATTCAGTAGCTCTTCTCCCCTTCCCTCCTGAAAGATGAGAATTGACAGTGGAGCCAGGGCAGCTGACCTCTCCGCCAGTGAGGGGCGGGCTGTCTCAGGGGCCAGGGCAGCTGGCTCTGAACCACCTGGAAGCCATTATTCATTCTCTGCACTTACTGTTTCTCATTGCTTGTGTCTGTGTGACTGATGCATAGGGTTTGAGGAAAGGATTTGTAGAAAGAAGCGTATAAACTACAGTCGAGTCGAACCCCAGACCCAGAGATATAGAGATGTGCTGTGTGTGCAGGGAGGCCAGCAGGTCTGGGCTGTTACGGGTGCATCGGGGTCAGGGCCGGGGCCGTCTGGTCTGCAGTTTTCAGAATTAGCAGTAGACCGCTTCACGTTTAGGCCATTGGCGGCGTCTGCCACATACCAGAAAGACTGGTGGCGCCAGGCACTGCATTTTTATTACACTTTCTTTTCTTCATGGACAGTTCTAACACTTCACGTGAGTCACGTCGTTTAATCCTCCTAGCAACTCTTTGGGGGTAGGTGGTTCCATTATTGTCCCCATTTTTCTGATGTGGAAACGGAGGCACCTGGAGGTTAAGTAATCTGGCCAACGTCATACATTCGGTGAAGGAGCCGAGTCTAAAGCCAGAGAGTTCGGCTCTGCAGTTTGTGCTCTTGACCATTATAATGCACTGCCTCTTCGAAAAGCCATCTGCTTAGGTCTTCCAACAGGTAAACATTTACGTTATTTTCTCTGAAGGTGGAAATAGATGAGTAAAGGGAGGTGAAGGCTGGAGCCAGGCCTCCGTGGGCTGAGTTAGAATTCGGCAGGCCTTTTAGTGAGAGTGGCCAGAAAGGGACTGAGTGAGACCTTCTGTCCAGAGCCCTGGCTGACGACTTTTAATCTTTGACCTTCAAGATTTATATTCCATTTTTGATCAATTCTTTTGTTTCTACAGAAACTCAAGCAGAAGAATCAACAGCTGAAGCAAATTATGGACCAATTACGAAATCTCATCTGGGATATAAACGCCATGTTGGCGATGAGGAACTAAACTGATATTTAAACTTCCTGTTTCACACATGTTACACCATTTTTTTCCCTCAAGTATGTTTTCCCTTTGAAGAAGACTATTTATGTGTTTGTATTCTAGTCACTGGAATTAAAGTTCTTATTTTACAGTGTGGTTTTACATTAAAGTATTCATTGGCAGTCTTTGTAAGCTGTTGATTCTATGAAAGATCATTATAATAAATTTTGATAGGGTTTGTGTTTTGGTTAATCTTCATGAATTGAATGATTGTTTTTTTTTAAAGCAAAATTAAGTTTTGTAAATAAATTTTTTAATTTGATCAATGGTGGTTTTGCTAATTTCATTAAGCTTTTAGGAGAAAATTAAAGGTTTAAACTTTCTGCAGATGAAAGTATCAATCTGGTACAAATTAATTAAAATTAAATATGTGACTTACATTTCAGCTCAATTTTTTAAATTCAGTTGAGTCCCAAACATGTTAAAATGAGAAAGTAGTTAACTTGTATATCACTGTAAGTAGGTGGGGATTTCTTTTACCATGTTCTCCAAGTGTTTGGTCTTGAATAGAATCATCTGTCTCTAAAGGGAAACATAATTAGAAGCTGGTACAAACTGAAGTCACAACTGTGTGCTTATTTGCTACCTGCTTTAGGTCAAGAAGCAATTCCCTGAGTCTGCAGATAGACCTTAATACTGAGCGCATTTTGGAAACAGCAGAGTTTGGAGTTTTAGGCGAGAGAGCTCTATATGACAGGTGCTGTCGTAGACTAGTTGCTGGTCAGCAGTACGTCCCTTACAGGTTTGCCTGCAGAAGCTGGTCTCTCAGACTGTAGTGTCCTCCAGTAAGACAGTCGATTCTTCTCAGCCAGGGCTTTCCTAGCCTGGTCCAGAAGCTCCCCCGTCCTGGCCTGGGTGCTTTCTCTCTGGGAAATGCTGCTATTTTATGTTTCTTGTGTATGGATGACGTTTCTCTGGAAGGTACAGAGGAAATGGCTTCCTCTGGGTGTGTGGGGGGGGGGACCCAGGTGGCTGTATTTGGACCTTTGGATTGATAGTGTATGCAAATGCTGCTTATTAAAAAATAAGTAAAACTTCTGAAATAATTTTCATTGCTTTGAGAGAGAGAAGCATCAATTTGTTGTTCCACTCACTTATGCATTCTTTGGTTGGTTCCTGGATGTGTCCCAACTGGGGACCAAACCCACAACCTTGGCACATGGGGATGATGGTCTAACCAACTGAGCTAGCTGGCCACGGCAGTGAAATTTCTTAAGTTACGCAGATTCCCACCTATAACAAGCAGCAGAATCACAGAGAAGTCAAACCATCTGAGCATCATTATACCCTCTAACTGCACATTCGTCAGAGAGTGGGTGTTGATACCTCAAGCAGTTGTAAAACATGTTTTAACCTAATTTTTTGTTGTTTTAATTATTACATTCAACTGCTTTGATGATACAGTGTTGAAATCACGTCTTTTGGACCTTTGTTCAATAGAGAATATTTCTACTGTGGAGCCATCAACACAGCTACACTCAGCTACAGGGCTATAGCTGCAAATTCTGAGAGGGTATGTTTGTTCTCAGCCCTCAGAACCGACATGGTTTACCCAGTTACTCACAAGTCTGCTTGGGCCCAGCCATGAAAGTGTTGGTTATTAAACACACAGCACCCCCCCCCCCCCCCCCCCCGCATAACTCAGTTTCAGGTCTTTCTCGAAGGAGAGCATGCCAATAGATTGAAGAGTAAAGGAACAGTTCAATCATGATGTGTGGCCTTGGGCAAGTCAATCTCAGTCTTCTTGTCTGAAAAGGATAGGTGGGGTTTGTTGATTTTATATTCTGTGTTGGAATTCTAGACACAATGTTCGGAACCAGTTCAGGATGGCTTAAGCCAAAAAGGGGATGTATTAGTTCCTGGAGCAAGAAAGGATTTTGGAGAAGAGCTCAGCCATCAAAAGCTGCAGGGGCCAAAGCTTCAGGAAGTGGAACCCAGGTTCAATGTCCTAGGGTTCTCTCTGCCCACCCCTAATTTCTGCTTCTCTCTCTTTGCTGTATTCTCTCCTGCTGCAGACAGGCCTTCCCCAAACCGTGGGGAAGGCGGCTTCCACCGGCTGACCTTCACATCTTTTCTGTCCATGCCCCAGGGGCTGGGCCATGCCCACACTGTAATCTGAAAACTCAAATGGACCCTGATCAGCGCAACTTCAGTCATCTAGTCAAACTTGGGAACAATTGTGTAGATGGGTTAAACTGACCTAAACCTGGGTTGTAAGCCCATCTCCGTGGCCAGGAATTGGATGTGGGAGTCATGGAAGAGCTCCTGACCAGGGAACAAATATTATTAGAAAGAAAGGACACCAACCAGAAAAATGCAAGAATAATGGCAACCACACTCCACTGATGTTCACGGTTACGATGCGTCAGATATGAGTTATTCAATTCTCAAACATTAAAATCCCAAAAGTTTACAGAAAACCAAATGCATCACTGACTATTAAAAAATTAATTTTTCTGAGTTTGTGGAATTCTGTGTTGACAGTTTTTTCTTTGCAGCTGTTTTTCATTTTGTTTGTTTGCTTTTGGGGTTTTGCAGCTGTTCCCATTCATTGCAGTGGGATTCTGTCGGGCCGTGGTCTGCCTGGGTTAAAGCACAGACAGGAAAGAGCTGAGGGAAAAAAATAAAACGAAAGTGCCAGCATCCTAGTAATGACATTATCTTCAAAATGATTTGGAAACCTAAGGCCCCGATCATTTAGACATCAGATCCCTTGGCACTGTTACAAGCCAAAATGTGTTAACTTGACATTTTGATGTAGCTCCGGTTTGAGTAATTCATTTTCTTAAATTCCCAAGGAAGTTGAAGCTAGAGGAATCTTTCAACCTTAAAATAAAATGTGTGCCTGTCCTAAAGCTCAGAGAGTTTGTTATCTTGGGTGTGCTTAAATCTGTCCAACATAACTGGATGCCTTAAGGTTCTTCTATTCCTATAAAACATTAATGGACACAGGACTGATTTTCTAACCCTAAATTAATGGTACTCTAGATGTATGTGTATATGTATTTTTTTAACATGGTAGCAGTCTTGAATACCTTCACATTTTGT